CTCAAGGCGCACTCGCTTTTCCAGGAATCCTTTGTCATCCCACTTGGCAGAGACAACCTGCCAAGGCTGTCAGAAGCGCTTAAAAATACTTTTGTGGACTGCATTTTGTGGTCTTTAGGTTACGAAACATTGCAGCAAAATATGCAGGATGAAATCCTGATCCAGGAGTCAGTTTTAAAGCTTGGAGGAATTTGTGAGTTGGTTGGTTGACTAACGGAAGTCAAACAAACAAAAGCTGTGGTGGGAGATCCCCAGAGCCTCTGAAAGTTTCCATCCTTCACAGAGGCACACCTCTCTGCCTCTAGGCCATAATATTCTCATCCTAAATCAGGAATTGCAAGTTAATATGTTTACTTGCTATGCGTTTCTGCCTGTTACTTTGATTATGGAGTTAAAAAGCCTTGTTGAGTCTTAGGAGATAAAGTCTGTTTATGCAGCCCTTCCTCTCCATGTCCTTGGTGACAACAAAATTGATCGATAGCCAGAGCAGACAGGTTCTGTGGGATCCTCTGGTCAAAGTACTGGCAGCTTATCACCGCGACTTACTAATTCCACATTCCACACATTTAGTTTGGTTTTAAATTGATGGGAGACTATTATAGTTCAAACAACAAAATCAAAGTACTAATAATACTTGAGACTATGATAAGGCATTAAAATGGCACCTGCGTGTGTGTATGTGTTGGTTACCTCTCTTTCCACTTTACCTACCACTTCTATATATTTACCTATGCCTTCTGAACTGGCCTTTAAAGAAGCTAGAAGGAAGACGGCACTATGTTTGATGATAATATTCTATCAATCCACAAATACTTTAATTTTGTTGGGTACAGTAGCCTTGATTTCAGATTAGGTATCTGTCAATCCGTGCAAGAGAGCAGGCAGCTCATTTGCGAGCGCTGTCGTCCCTGACCTGCGGCGTGATGTCCCAGAAATCCTCGTGGTTGCCATCGCACGTGAAGAGGCGCAGGAGCTGAAGAAGCAGCTGGTTCTGCCGATCGCGGCTCCCACGCAGCGCGCTCTGCTTTCCCGACCGGAGAGGGCTGGCGTTCTCGTCTTCCTCTGTGATGATGGATTCGGCTGTCTCCCAAGGTTTCTGCGTATTTTCTTTCCAAGGATCAGAGGGGAGGGCTGTATAGGCACCTCAGGCTGCTGCAACAGCCACATAGCGTGTTCTTGAAGGAAAACAGCGTGTGCATGACAAAATACCTTCTGTAGATCAGAGAGAGGCCAAGAAAAGTACTGGGTGGTCTGGCAGTGGGCTCCTGGAACAACCGGGCTAGTGAGCTGGTTAGAAAAGGAAGAAAAATGTGGGTCTTTTTTTTTTCTGCTGTATACAGATTTCCTACTAGATATAACTTTGCTCTCCAAAGTTATCCCTTCTACCTGTGCATATAAGCTATCTCCCGATAATTCTGTCCTCTGTGAGCCTCACGACAATTTGCATGGCCACAAATGACCCCCTAGCTCCCTCAAGAGGATATGGAAACTGTAAAGCTTGTCGGGCGGACGCCTTCGCTCAGAGTCGTGCAGCTTTAAGAACAGCTATGGTAAAGTGGAAGAGCTGTACCGAGCTGCGGGAACCTCCTCCAGCTTAGGGCTGCAGAGAACCTGATCCCGATTTCTTCCGTTCCAGAAGGCTGTACGCTCCACAAGGCAGTTCTCTTCTAGCAGATAGGTAGCTGTCACAGACACACGCTGTGAAGTGAAACGTAAGCGTTTCATGTCTAACGGCAGCTGGCAGAAGCGGCGCTTCCAGCACGCAGTTGCGTGTCGCTATCAGACAGTTATCACATAAACGGGTTAGGAAGAGCCAATTTTTTCCTTCAGGTAGGCTATTCCAAACAATACGAAATGCTCTTATGGATTGATTTCTAAAGAAAAAAAAAAAAAAAAAA